ATGAAAAAATGCTCTTCATCATTAATAATCAGAGTGTGCAGATCAAAATAACAATGAGATATCATCTCACACAGCAGAGACCGGCACACATCCAAAAAGAACAAAAGCAACTGTTGTTGGTGTGGATGTGGGGAGAAAGGGAATCTCCTTCCCTGTAGGTGGGAATGCTGACTTGCCCAGCCTTTTTGGAAAACAATATGGACATTTCTCAAAAAACTAGAAATTGCGCTCCCATTTGACCCAGCAATAGCACTTCTGATAATATACCCTGGGGGTCCCAAAACACACAGCAGAAGTACCATATGCAAACCTAGTTCATTGCAGCACTATTCACCATAGCCAGAATCTGGAAACAACCTGAGTGCCCAAGAACAGTTACTGGTGTAACTTTCATGATGTATCCATCCGGCTGTGCTCCATATATATATATATATATATATATATATATATATATATATATATATCAGCTTGTAATATTTTGTCCATATGGCTTATTTGAATACCATAGTTACAACGACTTTCAAAAATATGCTACCTCTGGCCTGCTTAACTAACTAACAACAACAACAACAACAGAAGCTCTAATTTGTTTAAACCTCTATTTGTCAGATTTTCTGTATTTCTCCGCTGATAGAATACAGCAATAAATGTAAGACAAAATGTTATGGAAATAGACAGCAGTTATGGAAACTAAGCACTCCCAGGGGGATTGGTAAAGCTGTATTTAGAATACCTTTGAAATAAGAACAAATTAGGTAAGAAGTGGTATAGGCTTGATTAATGACTTTCCTCTGGGGTCCTTAAAAAAGAAATACCACAGGCAAGGATAAAAAGACAACGGAATGAGCTTTAACAGTATCTAGTATCTATTTACTTTTTCCTGATTGTCAAAGGTCTAAGTAGTAGGCTTCACATTTTTTTGTTGTTGTTGCTATAAATGTCAGTAGAAATTTGAGCTTAAGTAGAGATCCCAAATGCAAGCTCTATGCAGTCTTGCTTATTCACAAGTAAATATACTTATAGTATGTTTTTATGCAGATACTTATAGACTCGCTAGAGTAATAGGAATTTAGTGACCTTGCATTATGTGCCAATCACCTTACACTACCAATATGCATAGCACCATGCTTGAAGTAAAAGTCAGAAAGAACATAGTATTTACCCTACAGAGGAAGGGTAATTTAACAATAGAGGGAATTGAGTGTTTGAATATTAGCATATACAGATATCATTCTCTATATATCTAGAATGTGTGTGTATGCATACACACATATTATTGTATATACTAGATTAGGCACAAGGGATATTAAAAAAAGCAGAGTTTTCGAAATATGAGGAATGGTGTGGGAGTATTTGGGGACAACGTGCAACACTGGTTGCTTCTAAAAGAGGTGGAGGATGAAGCTAGAGAAGCAGGAATGGGAAAAATGCTAAGGTAGAGAAATGAATTTTTTCTGATAAAAGGTTTAATGGCAGTGGTAATGCACTTCCTAAAACTCTTCCTTTTTCAAAAGGAAGAAAAGAGGTAAGAAAAGAGGTAAGGGTTAGGTCAACAAGAGCTTTCTATTTTGTATCATCTATTTAGTATCAAGTCCTAAGTGAATTGCTTTAAATATAAGAGTAATTATTTTGGCCATGATTATAAAACTAATAAACTAGGTTCTAGATTTTTAGTTAATAGCAACAACAAACAATTTAACTCTTTCAAAGCATCAAACATTCCACTGGTGTTAGATTTACTGCAGTGAAAAACACACACACACACACACAAAACACAAAAATTTCTATTCTCATGTGACTTACAGATTGACAGAAATACATCATTTTAAAATTAGTATTATATTAGTTGTAAAGGCAACATGTACAGAAATTCTCCTTATTTATTTATTTATTTATTTATTTATATAGCACAGCGGTAGGGCATTTGCCTTGCGCGCAGCCGGCTCAGCCGAGCCGAATTCGATTCCTCCACCCCTCTCGGAGAGCCCGGCAAGCTGCCGAGAGTACCTCGCCCACATGGCAAAGCCTGGCAAGCTACACGTGACGTATTTGATATGCCAAACACAGTAACGACAAGTCTCATGATGGAGACGTTACTGGGCCCGCTCGAGCAAATTGGTGAACAATGGGAGGACAGGGCTACAGTGCTATTTATTTATTTATTTACTGTATTTCAGATAAGCTGGCTCAGGTAGTGATAACTTTTACATTTTCATTGCACAAAAACTGCCACCAGCACCAAAATGCCAAGAGCCTTCAAGTTGTCCTTATGTCACTTTAGTTTACCTCTTTTATCCCCTCTTCTCTTCACTGCTTTGTAATTTCATTTTTTGCTCACAAGTCAAGGGTCTAGGGTCATTCAATTTTATCCATGCCCTTGATTTGTTTCCTTACACATCATAGGTAAGTGAGATGATCTGGCATATGCCTTCCCTCTGACATTTCATTTAACATAATGACTTCTAGTTCTAGCCAAGGTGCAGCGAATTTTAAGATTTGATCTTTTCTGATCTCTGCATAATTTTGCACATCTATCACAATTACCTTACCATTCAGCTGCCTTGGACATTGAGTTGTTTCTGTATCCTAGTTACTCACTATTTCAAGTTCTCACTATTATCTTAGTTACTCACTTTTTCTATTTTGTACATACTTCACAATTACTTTACCCATTTTATCTGCCTTGGACATTGGGTATTTCTGTATCTGAGCTACTCACTATAGCAATCAGCAAGAAAGAGAATCAAAGACATTAAAATCGGAAGATAAATTAAACTCTCATTACTTGCAGATATAATATACATAGACGACACCAAAGACTCTAATAAGAACTCTTAGGAACAATCAACACAGCAAAGTAGACGATTACAATTCAGGAAGTATCTGGTGCATTCGTATATGCAAAAAAAAAAAAAATGAACTGGGAGAGAAAAAAATAAAAAAGACATCTCCATTTGAAACAGAGTTTAAAAGCATCAAATACTTAGAATCAATCTAACAAAACATGTGAAAATCTTTATGTGGAAACCTACAAATCACTATTGAAAGATATAGAAATGGGAAACAAGAAAATATGCCACATTCATTGACTGGAAGAATTACTACAATTAAAATGACTGTCCTAACCAAAGAAAAGATTCAATTAAATCCCTGTAAAAATAAAATGACATTTTTCAAGGATTAGAATAAATGCTACAAAAATTTTTTACAGAATCATAAAAAATCTGCAAATAGCCAAAGCAATTTTGAGGAAAAAATGGGAGGAATTGCATTCCCTGATTTTATGCTTTAAAGGTATAGTAATAAAAACTGTGGTAAAAACCAGAGAAATGAAAGACAAACTTTGTATATAGACAAACCAGACCAGCGAAATAAAACTGAGAGCCCAAAGACTCAGACTCAGATATATGGACAGTTCCTCTATGATAAAGAAGTTAGATGCAAGAACCATACGCCCCAAAGTTAGAGAGTATGGGGGAAATTGTCTGCCATGGATACAGGGGCAGGGCTGGAAAGGGGGGAGGTATTGGAGACACTGGTGGTGTAGAATGAGCACTGGTGGAGGGATGGGTGTTTGATCATTGTATGACTGAAACTCAAACATGAAAGCTTTGTAACTCTATCCCACAGCGATTCAATTAGAAAAAAAGTTAGATGCATAAAGTAGACAAAGAAAAGCCTCGAAATAATAATGATAATGATAATAATGATAATCACTATATCACCGTCATCCCATTGGTCGTCGAATTACTCAAACGGGCACCAGTAACGTCTCTATTTCTCCCAGCCTTAAGATTTTAGCAGCCTTTTCTTACTTGTCTTTTCCCAACGACTGGAGGCTCTGTCAGGGTCAGGGGAATGAGACCTATTGTCCTTACTGTATTTTGCATATCGAACATGCTACGCGGAGCTTGCCAGGCTCTGCCTGTGCCGGCGGGATATTCTCAGTAGCTTGCTGGACTCTCCGAAAGGCATAAATGGGTAGGAAGTATCTTATAATGTGACGTGCTGCCACTTTCTGGCCTCGTGGTCTGGAAAGTGGCCTGGAGCGTGGCGGTGGTTGGGCAGCGGAGGTTGGCTGTTGGGGCTGGGTTCCTTGGGGTGGGGAGGGCTCTCACCCGCCCCACAGCCTGGTGCGGAGTCCGGTGGCATGGTTCTGGGAGCCTCCTTTTATAATCCCATTTGGGAGGGATGATGATGATGATATAATAATAATAATAATAAAAGTAATACTAATAACAACAAAAATGTTAATGATGATGATGATGATGAAAGGCAAATATCTTTCACAAATGGTATTAGTAAACCTGAATAGCCAAATGCAAAAATAAATAAATCAATCTGGATCTATATCTCCCAAATTTCCAAAAGTTAACTCAAAGCTTAGATAAGCACCTTGAAATTAAACCAGAATTCATAAAATACAGTAAGGAAAACACAGAAACAACTCTCCAGGTGTGGACCTTAGAGGGATCTTCAAAACTTAAACTTCATTAGCAAAGAATACAAAAATAAAAACAAACAAAGGAGAATGCGTCGAATTAAAGGAAGTTTATGGATGGTAAAAGAAACTCAGATTAAAATAAAAAGACAGGGGCTAGAGTGACAGTACCGGAGGTAGGCTGTTTCCCGAGCGTGAGGCCTACTTGGTTCGATCCCCAGGACCCCATATAATGATCCCTGGAGTCATCTAAGAGCGACCCCTGAACACCATGAGGTGTGGCTCTCCCCCAAGACAAACAAAAGTAAAATAAAACAAAATAAAAAGATAGCCTAATGGATGGGAGAAACTGAAACATTCTATAGGAATTCAGTTCCGGCGAAATGAATCTGTACTCTTAGTAAGCACGAAGCTTAAAGCGGCCTCATGTCAATAACTGCTCGAATTTTAAGAGGAAACAATTTAGAGACAGGGAGGAGGCAGCATGTGAAACGTATAAGAAGCACGTTTGCTTTCTTCAGCCAAGGGATACTTAAAAAACTCGAACGCGTGAACTTACATCGCTCCATTGGTATAGACGGTATCACTTCCTTCCACATACTGCACCTGAGCTGGATAGACATGTTGTACCTGTTGCACAGTCTGTACCTGCTGTACCTGAAAAACAAATATTGTAAGAAAAATATGAAATCCACGCCACTTAAAGTAAAAGCACATGTTAGGAAAAGATCAACAAAAGCACTTTTGCTGGTTAAATTCAGTAACACCCTTGCTTCTTATGCATTCCTGAACAACTATATATAATTGGAACAAATAACATTTTGTACGTGTAGAGTGGGCTGCAGCGATAGCACAGCGGTAGGGCGTTTGCCTTGCAACACAGCCAGCCCGGCCGACCCGAGTTTGATTCCTCCGCCCCTCTCGGAGAGCCTGGCAAGCTACTGAGAGGAGTATCTCACCCTCACGGCAAAGCCTGGCAAGCTCCCGTGACGTATTCGATATGCCAAACACGGTAACAACAAAGTCTCACGATGGAGACGTTACTGGACCCGCTCGAGCAAATCAATGAACAACAGGAGGACCGCGACCGTGATGTGTAGAGTAAAAAAATTGAAAGCTCTAGCATAATTTGTTGAATTATAAAATTCTCTTTGATAGCTTTGAAAGTTAAATTATTAATTACAACTCATAATAGGGAATTTTAAACACACAAGGTAAGAAAGAATACTCTAATAAGCCTCATGTAGACATCGTCCAAGATAATCACTAGGCCTCTCTACTTATTCCTCACAGGATGATTTATAAGAAGCTACTGATTGTATTATTTTCACTATAAATATTCCAACTCACTTCTAAAAGATAAGAACTACTATTGACACAAACACACAAAACGATATCACATAAAACATTAACAAATTCCTAGCATATTGAAATTCCCACCACTGTTCAAATTTTTCTGAATATTCCAATGTCTCCTTACAGTTGGCTATTAAAATCAGGATCCATAAAAATTTCAATTACTATCTTTCTCTTTTAATCTTATTTTCCTATCCTATTTTACGTTTGAGCATTGGGTTCTAATGAAACTGGATTATTTTAACTCACATAATTTCGGGAACTCTAGATTTTTCTGAGAGTGACCTTAGGATGTCATTTCTGAAGTTTATCTCTCAGTGTCCTTTAATTGGTAACTAGATTGAGAATCTGGAACAGGTTCAATTTTTGAAAAGCAACGTATTTTCTATTACATCATATCAGCTGCATACAGCAACTGGTTGTCTCTTTTTCTGAGTGGAATCAAATGTTCTCAGTTAGATCCATTATTATACTTTTTTTCTATTAATGTTTTATCAGAGCATATTAATCATCTAGTGATAATTCAAATAAGATTACAAACTTGTAATCTAATCAGTATTCCCTTTTCATTTATTCATAAACTTCTGTAAAGAAATACCTTCGTTATTTGGTAACTTTAACAAATGACTCGCATAGGAAGAGTTTGTTAAGTACCTGACTTTCCTTTTTCTTTCTTTTTGTGGGAGTGGGGGGGTCACAACTGGCTGTGCTCAGGACTTACTCCTGGAGGGTTCAGGAGACCATATGGGATCCTGGATGCTGAGGATCAAATCTGGGCTGCATGCAAGGCAAACACCTTACCCTCTGTTCTGTCACTCTAGTCCCTTGAGTCTTTAAGGGTGCTCAAAATGATCTTTTTTTGAAAAAACAAAGTTTTCTTTTCTTCTTTATTTGAATTACCATGAATCAGAAAGTTATAAAGTTACTCTTGATTGAGTTTTAGGTGTACAATGTCCCAACACTAATTGCTTCATAGGTGTCCCCTTCCTCCACCGATGTTCCCAGTTTTCTTCCCACCCCCATCCTGCCTCTATGACAGGCATCTATTTTTCTTTTTCCTTTTAGTTCTTTGTTCCCCTTTTAAGGCACCATGGTGAACAATACTGTTACTGGCTGGATATCATGCCTTTTTTTTCCAGCACCTAGTTCTGGTCCATAGTCACTCTTTCCCTCTATCATTGTCAACGTGGTCCCTTCCTGACCTATTTCTCACCTCCCCATACCCCAGGCTTCCTTCAAGAACCAACTCTCCTGCTCTTTGTTTCTGTTGCCTTTCCAACTTCAGCTAAATAATAACCTTATACCCTAGCTCCCTCCCAAAACGATCAAAGCAGTTTTCAATTCGATTTGATTTGATTTGCTTACACCCTCATGAACTTGACTTCTAAACACATTAGATGCTCTTCAGTCACAGCAAGAGTCATTTCTTTGTTACAACATCCCCATCTTTATTCAATAGCACTCCCTTCAATCAGAGAGGGCATGCCCCATCTTCACAACCCTGCTTTCTGTTTTGGTGCAATGTTCTAGAATTAGCTACTATATTCCTCTCATATATATGGTGTCAATAGTTTTTCACATCCTTGGTTCCTATTACCTGGTGCCTAAGAGTTAGTATCAACATATAAAAAGGGCTTAATAAAACAAATTGTTTAAGAAGTTTACGAACAGGCATACTATTTGATACCTTTGTGGCTTCTTCTACAGAAATAGTCATCACTGGAGGAACTACTAGACATTCTTTGCAAAAGTTTATTTTTATTTTCTCTTGCTTTAGGTTTCGGGATCGCATGTGACAGTGACAAGGCTGACTACTGGTCCTCTGTCGAGGGATCATTCCTGGAGGTGTCACAGGGAACCCAGACTGGTTGCATGCAAGACAATCACCTTGATTCTTCTACCATCTATCTTGTCCATTTAATTTGTTTTGGGGGCATTTTGGGTCACACCCAGAGGTGTTCAGGGGCTATTGCTGGCTCAGTGCTCAGGAGTAACTCCTAGTGGTGCTTGGGCAACCACATCCAAAAATCAAAACTGAGTTGGCCACATGCAACACAAGTGCCTTAAGACCTCTTTCATCTCTCTGGCCCATAAAAATATTTTATAATTATAAGCACAAGAACTTATGAAAACCTGAGTAAATTTGAAGTTGAACAATTAAATAAATTATAGGAAAAATTCTGTAGAACAAAGAAAAAATAGAAAATAGAGTAGTCGAAACTTTTTCGACTGTGATACAGACTACTAACAGATACCTCTAAAAGTCCAGTGCAAACCAATGTATAGACCAGGAAACCACACCAACTTAGAGTAAACCGCCACCATCACTAAACTGCCGAAATTAGTGATGAAGAGAAAATTTATATGCAAGGCAACAAAAACAGTAGGAGGACTGAAAACTTCCTGTCCAAAATCAAGCTCCAGATAAATAACATCATAAAAGCAGGAACAGAATATCAAGATCACCCTTGAACCCAATGTTTAGAGAGAAGGAGAGAGAAGGAAAGAGACTGGGGGGTGGGGGCAGGGGCCAGTGGGAAGAGAAGAGAATCCGAAGAAAGAGGTGAACGAGCATCAGGGCTTCAGTTATACCTGCCAAGTGGGAGAGCGGTATAAATATGTAGACCAAAAGCAGAGTCAACAAAACGAAAAACGTGAGATTTAGGCGAAACTTTATCATGTGCTTGTCAAGTTGACATGGGGATGGGCGGAGAGGGAAATATGGGAACTCCAGTGGAGGGAAGTTGATTCTGGTGTTGAAATACTCTATGCCTAGAGCTTCAACTATCAAAAACTTTGCGCATCGCAGATCTTTAATTGAAAAAAAAATAAATAGAAACAAAAAGTTTACAACCAAAACAAAAGGAAAAGCTTTTATCTGGAGAAGTGAGGGGGAGGGCTTGGGGCCACATCCAGCAGTGACCAGCGCTTACTCCTCACTCTGTGCTCAGAGATCACGCCGGGTGGGGTTCAAGGCACAATATGTGGTAACAGAAACTGAATTCACGTCAATTGCAAGCACCCTATCCACTGTAGTATCACTCTGGTTCAAAAAATATATATATATATATATATATTTTTTGACAAACATAAGCAGACCTCCAAGGAAGGTAATGTCAAAGAAATTTCTTATGTTTTGTGGGAAAATAATACGAGATGAGAAATGGTCTCTATACGAGGAAATGAGGAAAATTTTGAAGAGAAGTTGCTATTATTTTCAGGTTTTGTTTTTCCCCTTGGCTTCTTCTTAAAAATGCTATGTTAGGGGCTGGAGTGATAACAAAGAGGATAGGGTGCTTGCTTTGAATGCATTCAATGCAGGTTCGATTCCTGGCATCCCATATGGTCCCCTGAGCACGCCAAGAGTAATTCCTGAGAGCAGAGCCAGGAGTGACCCCTGTGCATTGGCAGGTATGGTCCAAAAAGCAATACACACACACACACACACACACACACACACACAAACACATATACGTACACACAACGTTAATGATTTTTAACCACATAGACTAAGTTACAATATATATTGAGTACCTACAAATATAGAAGTTAAATGTATGTTTAAAAAAAGCATCAAAAATGTGACAAAAATATTTAAGTATTAAAAATTTGCACTGGTACAGTTGTGATAAAGTTAAGATGCATAATAAAAATATACTAAAATTATAACAAAATATATAACCAGTAGCATAGATAAGGTTTAATAATTCAGAGGCAGAGCAACAGTACAGTGGGTAAGACCTTGCACTGTCCAACCAGATTCAATACCTGGCATCCCATATGGTCCCCACAGCAAAGCCAGGAGTAATCCCTGAGCATTTCTGGGTATAGCTCCTAAACTAAAAAAGTTTAATAATTAAAAAACAATATACTCCGTAGAAGACAAAAGTGAAGGAAAAATAAAGTATAATTGAAAGAGAAAAGAAAAATATTCTACATTAAATGTAATCACATCAGTAATTTAACTCAATATACGAAATTTGAATCTTGATTGTCAGAAAGAGTAAAAATAAGTTAAGCTCTAATATATTCTCTTCATTAGAACACATTTTAAATATACAGTTTAAAAATAAAAGGATATGAAAAATAAGTTATAAAGGAAAAATTATTATATGGCTATAATATCAAAAGACCTTGAGAAAACAAATCAAAATATAAATAAGGTATATTGTGTTCCTTAAATACATTGTGTGTGTGTGTGTGTGTGTGTGTGTGTGTAAAATGGTAAAACAGTAATGGAAATAGCAAATCAGTAAGATTTCCATTTTGTTTAAAAAGTAAAGGGCAGGAGAGAGTAGGAG